CATTGGCCATATGTCTAAAAAGTGTAATGAGCATTGACCAAACTCACATTTTTCAGGATAAATGAAGACTCCATACTCTTTAAAACGATTGATAATTTGTATAAGATCGTTTTTGTGTTCGACCTGATAAGAACTAGCTACCAACACATCATCAATGTACACATAGGCGAACTCAAGACCATGAAGTACCATTTCTATAAAACGCTAAAAAGTTTAAGCTGCATGTCTTAGACCAAAGGGCAAATGAGAGAATTCAAATAATCCAAAAGGCATGGTCACTGCTGTTTTATGGACATCCTCTGAACCCACGGGTATTTGATAGTATGCACAAATGAGATCTAGCTTGGAGAAAATACGAGTACAATGTAAAGTGGATGCAAAATCCTGAATGTATAAAATGAGATATTGGTCAGGTACTGTGATCCTATTTAGAGCCCTATAGTCCCCACATGGTTGCCAATCGCCACTAGTCTTCTTTGGGACCATATGTAAGGCAGAGTACCCTTGACTGGACGAAAGACGTGTGATTCACAGTTCCATCATGTGAGTGAACTCTTAACAAGCAATTGTTAAGCGTTTGGGAGGAAGTCATCATGTTCGAGTGGATACAAGCAGTCCTGACGTCTGAATATGATGAACGACGTGTTTGATGGGAGTATTAACTTTCACGGTTGAGTTAATTTAGGATATCCTAAAGGAGATATGAAAAACAATTAGAGAAAAGGAGAGGGTTAAGAGTAAGACAGTAAGCTTTCTGGTGTGTGCATTGCATGATAGTTCGAATATTTGTTCGGGAATTTATAAGTGTCTTGCGACATATATCAATAAGGAGGCCATGCTGTTAAAGAAAGTCAGCACGCAAGATAGGCTGCTTCACATCTGTGATAGTGAAGATCCAACGATAAGGTCTACGAAGATGCAGATTGAGAGTGAGGGAGCGGATACAAATTATCTTTAATTTTGTATCGCCAAGAAAGCATTTTTATTTGCTGTCCTTCAGACCAGTTATGTAGCACTCCATTGTCTCTTTCATGAACAATCACGACTAAAGGAAAGAACTTTTCCTTGGAAATAAAACTTCTTTGAACAAGTATAGACAAAAGACTGGGAAAGGTCAAGGATATTGCTGCTTTGCATAGCAAAAATTGAAGAATCTTACTATTGGTATACGAACAACAAGGAGTATTTTCAAAACAATGAATTCATTTATTTAATAATTACTTTCCAAGGTGAGTGTATACTGTCCTTTCCCAAGCTGTGACATGTGACTGGGCCTGAACTGATTTAGTGGAATCATATTTACTTGAAGGTGGCAACTGGCAGCAGAGCTTGACAAAATCAGATAAACCTTACATAAAAGTTGATGAATGATCATGACATGCAAAAAGTGAGCTGTATATTTGAATTTTTCTACATAGTTGTTTTATGTTTTAGGAATATGTAATCTAATCATTAATTTTATATAATCAATGTCAAGGCTGTCTGATCTGACTAAAATTGTTTATCGTCTGATACTTAAACTATTTATTCCCAATCTATTGAT